TGGACTTTGAGTGATCTATAGGAAAAGGACATGGGGGTTAATGAAAGAATATACAGTTAAAGAGTAGAGCTTGGGGGCGCCTGGGTGGCTCAGTTGGTTAAGCGACTGCCTGGGGCTCAGGTCATGATCCTGGAGTCCCGGGCTCGAGTCCTGCATCGGGCTTCCTGCTCAGCAGGGAGTCTGCTTCTCCCTCTGACCTTCCCTCTCATGCTCTCTCTCTACCATTCTTTCTCTCTCTCTCTCAATAAATAAATAAAAATCTTAAAAAAAAAAAAGAGTAGAGCTTGGAGCCCTTGGAGTTTTCTTGCAAGACTGAGCAGCTGTTTCCCATGAGGCCATGCCCAATGGCAGGAACGCAGCAACTATTAAACTCTAGAAGGCTCTCTCCATCTCCTCTCACTGCCTCAGCCCTCCGGACCTTACATCATAATGGGCCAGAGCTTTCCCTTAGGGAGAACCAAGCTCTGCCAGAGTCCCATCGTGAGCAGTAATGGAACAGAGATGAGGATCTGACTGAGTTATAGTCCTAGCTTTTCTATTCTTAACTCCTAGGCTTTTATGGAGCTCTGGGGGCTGAGCTGCTTTTTAAAAGCCCACACATGGGAAGCATGGTGGGTACAACTGGCTCACCATTAGGAAAAAATTTAAGTTTAGAGTTCCAAGTCATGGCTGACATTAGAATAAATTCCAGATGGCTGAAAGATTTGAATGTAAAACACGAAATCACAAAAATAGTAAAAGAAGAAAATAGATGAATATTTATAATTTTGGAAGGGAGGGGGAGTATGGAAGACCATTTTAAGTTTAACACCAAAGACAGATAATAAAAGATTGGTTAAAAAAAATATGTGTGTGTGTGTGTGTGTGTGTATATATATATATATATATATATATATATATTCATGTACAAAAGACAGGCACAAAAGTAGAAATGTTAACAAAGAACAATTTCAGAGTTAATGGGTATAAGGAAAAGAGGCCCTGGACCATTCCTTAGAGTGATTAATTGGGAAAATGCATTTGGAGTATCCAATGGGGTTAATCCCTTCCTTCTCCTCACATTTGACTCATCAGACAGCTGCAAGAGGGATTCTCCCCAGACCAAACCATTAAGTCTGGGCTCTCGGGCCAGAGGCAAAGCCTTGCCCCAGACAACAACTAATGCCCAAGAGGGGAAGAAAATTGCTGTACTCAAAAGACAGGACAGGTCCTCTTCTTCCTTTTATACACCACCACATCTCCAACCAACCAGCACATTCCACTCCTCCACAAAGTTACCACATGCAGGCTCAGTAAACAGGACAGACAAGAACAAGAATGCACAATTTAAAAATGAATAAATGTCTTAAAGTACTAAACAAAAATTTGAGAAAAGTCAGAACAATGAAACAAGGCCTTCAGAATCTATCATCAGCAACTCTAACATCCAAGAAACAGAGTTAGTAACTACCAACGAACAAGACTTCAGATTAAGCGTAAATAATGTCTTCACAAGAAATGTGAAAGGATATTTCATGTATTAAAAAGATTTAAGAACTTGTTTTTCCAAATAAAAATTCAATGGGCTGAATCACAAAATAGGTGTCAATGAAGAGTCAACAACAGAGTTGAAAGTTCAAGTGGAGAAATTCTCCTAAAATGCAGTTCAAATAAACAGAGGTCAGAGGTATAAAAGAGAAATTTGAGGCAGTGGCAGGTTTGGCCCATTGACTAGAGTCTGCCAACCTCTGTTCTATGGCTCTCACTTCCCTCATTTGTAAAATGAGGGCAATCATTGTGCCAACTTCATAGGGTTGTTGCGGGAATTAAGTGGGGCAATGTGCCAAGTACTTTGCCCATTGCCTTGTGCACAATAAGCAGTCAATAAATGCTAGTTCTTATTGATTGTATTTGTTCGGGTAGATGCTAAGAAAGAAGAGAAAGAGGGGCGCCTGGGTGGCTCAGTCGTTAAGCATCTGCCTTCGGCTCAGGTCATGATCCCAGGGTCCTGGGATGGAGCCCCGCATCGGGCTCTCTGCTCCGCGGGAAGCCTGCTTCTCCCTCTCCCACTCCCTCTGCTTGTGTTCTCTCTCTTGCTGTCTCTTTCTGTCAAATAAATAAATAAAATCTTTTAAAAAAAAAAAAAGAATGAAGAGAAGGAGGTCACTGTGCACACAGCAGGCCCAAGGGACTTAAAAGACTTCATTTTATTATTTTTATTAGCCACTTAATAAAAATACCTCATGTTGGCATAGGGGAAAAAGAAGTTAGGAAGCATAGAAAATGGATCTAGAAGTTCTGTCATCCTATCTGATAGGCATTCCAGAATAAAAGAACAGAGGGAAGACCTAGGCCTAAATTAATTATGAGGAAATATCAGAACACCAGGTATAAAGGAAATGCCAAGCAATTCCTTTCTGTTCTCTTACATTTGTGAGTGCATTTTTCCAGGAAGAGGATCCGAAATACGGATCCAGTTCTTAAAAGAGCAACCAAAAAGGAAGTCTAGGAATTGCTGTCCTCTATGAAGAGAATGTCTCCAAACAAGGAGGCTGGTGAGAAGGGGCTTGACCCTTAATTAAGGTTGTTCTATATCTCATGCCTTCCACTCTTTTTTTCTTGCACACTCACAGAAGGAAAGATTGATCAGCTCAAAACCAGACTGCCCTTAACTCAGCACATCATTATACTTTCTTCTCTCTGGGAGAAACATCCACAAAGGTTTTCCCTCAGGAATGTGTCTGGTTTTAAAAAGTCTCTAAGACTCAACAGTGCTGGTAGCATTTCCTCCTGTGGACACCTTGCTGGGGAAATGGGAGGAAGGGGAACCCTGCGAGCCCACTGCAGCCCTGCAGCATCGGGGTCACAGAGACGTGGGCCTGCTCTGTAGGCAGCCCAGGTCAGGGAGGCTGGAGACCTGGATCCACTCTTTCCAACCGTGTGATCCAGGCAGGTCACTTTTACTTTCTGAGCCTCTGTTTCCTGGTCAGTGAAATGGGAACACACTTGTACTGCTTCTCAGGATAGTTCTGAGGCTAAGATTTTCACCAGTGAAGACTCTCTGAGAAAGCAAATTCTAAACTAAGAGTCACTGATGCAAATGCCTTTAACTTGTGAAGTGACCAAGGTACAACATGAGGGAATGGTGCAGACCTTGACCTAACAAACGTGTTTGGGAGCCAAATTTGGCCCTGGGTCACCAACTTGTGACCCTGCCTTAAACAAAAATGAGGGTAATTACAGCAAAGAAACTCTCAAAATTGATGGAAAATAAAATTTTTCTCTACCCTGTTATGAGTTGAATTGTGCCCCCCCCAAAAAAATAAGTGGAAATCCTAACCCCAAGTATCTCAGAATGTGACCTGATTAGGAAATAGGGTCATCGCAGATATAATTAGTTAACATGAGGTCCTACTGGCGTAAGATTGACTCCTTATAAAGAAGACAGCCATATGAAGACAGAAAGACACAGGGAGAATGCCCTGTGAAGACAGAGATTAGTGATGCATCTATAAGCCAAGGAATGGCAGGATTGCTAGCTCTCATGGGAAACTTAGGAGAGGGGCATGGAACAGATTCTCTCTCAGAGTTCTCAGAGGGAAGCAACCCTGCTGACGTCTTGATTTCAAACTTCTAGCCTCCAGAAATGTGAGAGAATAAATTTCTGTTGTTTTAAGCCACCCAATTTGTGATACACTGTTTTGGCAACCCTGGGGGAAACTAATACACTTCCCTGAAGGAAACTTGATTTTATATCAGGTATGAATTTCTGCTTCTCAGCATGAGTCAGTGGGACTCCTCGCTTAAACCTTGGCAGGGCCAGGACTAGGGTGAGACGCCGAGGGTCCAGAATTTTAGGAGGCAGTTCCTCTTAGGTTTCTGCAAGTGCTGATCTTCAGAGAGAGTGCCTCCTCGAGAGCCAGGAGCCTATCCATGGCCATGCTGGAGTGTGTGGCGGTAATCCTGCCTGAACGTGTTATCTAGTATCTTCGAGTGGTGCTTTGGAGCTGATTATAAAATGTAGTTTCCAGCCACTTTAACCTAGGGCAGAGCAAACATGTATTTCTCACAATCTCAGAATACTTCCTCTTTACTTAAGGTAGAGGCTGAAGGGTAGCAGAATATGCCACCCCAAAATAGGACTGCAGGAGTTCAGGACATGCCACCCCAAATTATGACACTTTGGTATGCTGATTATTTTAAGCTGTAGGTACTTGAAAAACAGCAAATGCAGGGAGCAAATGAATTCCCCTTATCTGCCTAAATCCCCCAAAAGGAACTCAGTTGTCATAAATCTCCTCCGAGGGAGTTTCATCAAGCAGGGAAAATTGACTCTCACCACAAGGGAGCAGGCTGGAAATCCACACCACACATAGACAAACTCTGTCGCACACTGTTACATCTCCTATCCTCCTAGGGGCCAATTCAACTTTCCCCAAAATCATTTATTCTCTGAGCCCTGTATCCTCCCCTCCCATTTCCCTATTAAAATGGTATTTAATCCTAAATTCTTTTTTTTTTTACGATTTTATTTATTTATTTGAGAGAGAGAGAATGCACAGGAGCCCGGGGAAGGGGCAGAGAAGCAGTCTCCCTGCTGAGCAGGGAGCCTGATGTGGGAGCATGACCTGAGCCAAAAGCAGATGCTTAACCAACTGAGCTACCCAGGCGCCCTTAATCCTGAGTTCTTTTTTTTTTAAGATTTTATTTATTTATTTGACAGAGAGAGACACAGCGAGAGAGGGAACACAAGCAGGGGGAGTGGGAGAGGAAGAAGCAGGCCTCCCGCAGAGCAGGGAGCCCGACGCGGGGCTCGATCCCAGGACCCTGGGATCATGACCTGAGCCTAAGGCAGCCACTTAACGACTGAGTCACCCAGGCGCCCCCTTAATCCTGAGTTCAAGCCACCTTGGGGAGTCATTAATTTTTCCAGGGGTATCTCCCCTGTATATATATGAGGTATATATATATATTATAAGCTTCGGTTTGCTTTTCTCTTGTTAATCTGTGTTTTATTACAGAGTCTCAGCCAACTCAGAAGGATAGAGAGAAAATTATGAGGATGGGATCTCTGAAACCCTACCCAGATGGAATTCTGGGAAAACTGGCAGAAGGGTAAGAGTTCTTATTAAAATCAGCTCTCCTGGATCTCTGTCTGTAGTGCCCAGTTGAGAGAGGAGGGTAACATTTTATCTTGTCCATCTTCAAATTCAGATTCGTGTGAGAAAAATATTTTTAAGAATGAATTCTTTGAACTGTGACTCTTAGGAATTTGGTTTTTGGGATACCCTTGGGTTATTTATCCTTTCCCTCCCAGGGACAGCTATTGCTTTCCTGTTTGTCTCGTTTTATGTCCTGAGAGCTTGATTTGGCACGCAGGTTGTTGGTTCTCGTGCGTACAAGTGAGTAGCTCTGGATCTTGGCAGGGTTGCATCTCTTGCACCCTCTTTAGGGATACCACCTGTATCCATGTTAAGTCACAAAAGGCTTATTAATCTTGGTTTTGAGCCACTTGATAAGTATACCTTCAGTTTAAAAGAAAAAGGAAAAAAATAATTTATTTCTTTTTTAAAGATTTATTCATTTATTTTAGAGAGAAAGGAGGAAGGGGCAGAGGGAGAGGGAGAGAGAGAATCCCAAGTAGACTGACTCCCTGCTGAGCAGGGAGCCCGATGATCCCAGGCTGGATCCCATGACCCTGAGATCGTGACCTGAGCTGAAATCAAGAGTCGGACGCTCAACCAATTGAGTCACCCAGGCACCCCAGGAAAAAAATAATTTAAAAAAGAAGTTCAGAAATAGTTACCGTTTGTTCCAGCTGATAATAATATATTGAAAGGATTTTTTTAAGATTTTATTTATTTATCTGACAGAGAGAAAGAGCGAGAGAGAGAGAGAGCACAAGCAGGGGGAGGGGCAGAGGGAGAGGGAGAAGCAGGCTCCCCGCTGAGCAGGGTACCCATTGCCAGGCTCCATCCCAGGACCCTGAGATCACAACCTGAGCCAAAGGCAACTGCTTAACCAGCTGAGCCACCCGGCTGCCCCTGAAAGGATTTTTAAGAGCTGTATGGTCAGAAAATTGGCCTAATTTGAAGCCAATACTCAGAGCCTGATAGGAACTGTTTTCCCTTGACCCTGTTCCTCCTATGGGGACTTCTCAGTCAACTGAAATCCTCTTCTCAAACCCCTGCTGACTACATGCTCCATCAACTCTACTTCCTTCATGTTGGCATGATTTTGCTGAGGATAAATTCGGAACTCCATTGGCTTCTTTGGAAAACTTAAGATTTCCCCAAATTGGCTCTTTTAAGACCTCTTCCTTCCCACTGTTCCTTCTTCCTTTTGTCACTTTCAATCTTCCATTCCGTTCCCTTTAATTTGTTGACTCTACCTACGCTGCCACACTTCTCCCTTTCCACTTGAGCCTTCAGCTCCCTATAGACACTTGAACTTTAGGCCCCCTACTCTCCATCAGGGGCTGTTGAGGGACCCAGAGACCCCCAAAAGCAACTACTTGAGGCTGAAAAGGTTAGCTTTTGGGAACTGGGCAAGTGAAAATCTTAAAAGTCCTCTCCACAAATATAAGTAAAAACTTTTAGCCATCTGAGTGGATCCAACTGTTCTTTTATAAACTAGCAAGTTTTGTATTAATGTACCCAACATACGGCTAAAATTTCAATAAAAGCTATAAGATTTCTATGTTTGTATGTTTATGTATGTCTATATATGTATGTTAGTATATGTGGTATTTTTCTACCTCTGGATGATATTATCAAAATTAATTGTGGAAGAGCTCTATTTAATTGGCTTAAAGAAAAGTAAGTGCTTATATAAATTAGACGTTCTCTCAGAGCAATACAGAAACTAACCCAAATGTTTTTCATGCACTTCCAACAGGTGTGGGGTGAGATCTCATTGTGGTTTGTTTGTTTTTTTTAAGATTTTATTATTATTTATTTATTTGACAGAGAGAGACAGAGAGAACAGGCAGAGGGAGAGGGAGAAGCAGGCTCCCCGCTGAGCAGGGAGCCTGACATGGGGCTCGATCCCAGGACCCTGGGACCATGACCCAAGCCGAAGGCAGACGTTTAATGACTGAGTCACCCAGGTACCCTCATTGTGGTTTTGATTTAAATTTCCCTGATTAGTGATGTTGAGCACCTTTTCATGTACCTGTTGGCCATCTGTATTTCTTCTTTGGAAAAATGTCTATTCAGATTCTCTGCCTATTTTTTATCAGATCATTTGTATATTTTTGGTGTTGAGTTGTATGAGTTCTTTCTATATTTTGGATATTTACCCCTTATCAGACATATGATTTGCAAATATTTTCTCCCATTTAGTAGGTTGCCTTTTCTTTTTTTTTTTTTTTTTTTGCCTTTTCATTTTGTTGATGGTTTCCTTTGCTGTGCAGAGGCTTTTTAGTTTAATCCCATTTGTTTATTCATGCTTTTGTTGCCTTTGCTTTTAGGGTCCAAAAAAAAAAAAAAAAAGCCATCACCAAGACCGACATCAGAGAAATTACTACCCATGTTTTCTTCTAGGGGTTTTATGGTTTCAGGTCTTACATTCAAGTCTTTAATCCATTTTTTTTAAAGATTTTATTTATTTATTTGAGAGAGAGAGAATGAGAGATAGAGAGCATGAGAGGAAAGAGGGTCAGAGGGAGAAGCAGACTCCCTGCTGAGCAGGGAGCCCGATGCGGGACTCCATCCCCGGACTCCAAGATCATGACCTGAGCCGAAGGCAGTCGCTTAACCAGCTGAGCCACCCAGGCGCCCAGGCGCCTGTCTTTAATCCATTTTTATTTCATTTTTGTATATGGTATAAGATAGTGGTCCTGTTTTATTGGCTTGCTCTGATAAGAGATTGTGAAAGGTTTTTCTTTACCTTTTAAATAATCTGTCCAGAAAACAAAGATTCTGTGTTTAATCAAAATAATTTCCCATGCTTCATATTAGGTCTTTGATTACTTAAGAAAACTCTATTAAAAGTTTTTAATAGTTCTCTATTAAAAGAGCTAAGGTTTTTTAAAACTATGTAATTTTCTGTATTTGCCTTTGAAATCTTTAATAGTCATTTTGTCTAAATCTTTAATTATCACTTAATTATTCTACAGGATTTCTGGAACATCTCAAAAGACTTGTTCTCTCTCCTTATAAAAAGAGAGATTAGATTTATCTGACATGTTATATTACATGGGAAGAATTGTCAAACAAGTTGTGTGCAACCTTCTTAGGTTTTATTTGTATGGGTATATGTTATTAATATAAGTGTTCTAGAAATTGTATGAAATTCCTAGAATCTGATACATCCTGGTATAGTATCATCAATCGCAACTCTAGTTATCTTAAAATGTTGTGTGCCACAGAGATCATCAAATTTCCTTGTTAATTCTGTCTAAATGAACTATCATCAGATCTTTAATCATGACCATTTTAAGACTTTGGTCCATCAGTTATTTATTTTTTTTAAAGATTTTATTTATTTATTTATTTATTTATTTATTTATTTATTTGACAGAGAGAGCACAAGTAGGCAGAGAGGCAGGCAGAGGGAGAGGGAGAAGCAGGCTCCCTGCTGAGCAGGGAGCCCCACGCAGGGCTCGATCCCAGGACCCTGGGATCATGACCTGAGCCAAAGGCAGCCACTTAACCAACTGAGCCACCCAGGCACCCCTGTCAGTTATTCTTTTACTCTGATATTTTCTAAAAGCTGTTGCAAGCAGCTATGATCCAAAAATGCTTTATCTTCAGAACAATTCATGGACGAGACTCTGAAAAGTCCTCTAGATTGCAGGTTTCTCATAATGTTAAGGTTATACCATTGACCTGGGTAAGAATTTCTAGAACTCTAATGAAAAAACAAAATGATGTAAAAAACTGCTAACTCAGGATCAAGCAAAACATGAATTAATTACATGGGGTTGAATAAATTGATGAAGATGATTATAATTTTTATGACTTTTTATTTGAAACATCACTGGTTCTTTAATGTTTTGCTTTCCAGATTTAAGGAGACTTCTCTTTTTTCTTAAGTGATCTGTGACTGGCTGCAAGTTGGCAAAATATACCTATGTAAAAAGAAATGAAGCATTTATCTTTTCTCCCTACCTGATCCTGCCAGAATTCAGAAACTCTTGAGTGTTCTTATTTTCATGGCAATATGCGTATTTGCCTAAGTTCAGTAAGAATCTTGCAATAGGACACAATTGGAAATATTGCTTATTTTACCAAGGGTTTGACTGGAATGTCATATTTGAGAATGATGGACACAGATTAAGATATAACCAGACAGCTTTAAGGCAGTAGGGTTGATTTTAAGGGGCCAATGCTTATTAAACCCCCTTTTGAGAAACCACCTGGTACCTTGCTTTCAGGGTTTTCCATCTTACCAGGTGAGTCCTGGCAGGCTCAGTCCCTTCAGGATATTTTCAGGACCTGAAACAGAGAAGAATTCATCCAAATGTATAGATAATTCACGTGAAGTCTGATAGTGAGTTCTGGTGTGGCTTTCTAGCCTTGAGAGGCTTTTTTAAAAGTTGATTCTGAGATTTGTTATGAAAGTTCCAGCAAAGCTATTTTTTAAAAAGATTTTATTTATTTGTTTTTGTGAGAGAGAGAATGCACAAGCGGGGGGTAGGGGGCAGAGGGAGAAGCAGGCTCCCCGCTGAGCAGGGAGCCCAATGTGGGACTCAATCCCAGGACTCTGGGATCATGACCTGCTCCAAAGGCAGACGCTTAACTGACTGAGCCACCCAGGCACCCCACAGATTGTGAAACTTCTTGAAGAATTTTCAAAGATGAGGAATGAAGGGTAGCAGAATGTGCCATGCCAAAATATGATCACAGGAGTTCAGGACATGCTACCCCAAAATATGCTGCTTTGGTGTAATGATTGCTTTGAGCTGTAGACACTTGAAAAATAGCAAATGCAGGGAGAGTGTTCTCTGAATTTCTCTTGTCTGTCTAAAGACAAGAGCCCCCAATGACTCTTGTCATAGGAGAGGAGACTAGAAGTTAACACCACACTCAGGCAGACTTTGTCACAAAACATCCTATTTCCCATCTATTCTTCTAAAGACCCATTCATCTTTCCTTAAAATCACGTCCTCTCCCCTACAAGGCCTACATACCCCCTTCCCTT